TGAAATTTAAATATTGAGATTGTTTCCAATTGATTAAAAGTAAAAAAAAAACAATTCACTTTTGACGAACCTGAAGAATACTAATAGTTTTTTAATCTACGCTAAATAAAAAAACAGACTACGAGTACGCAGGAACGTTACGTCTTCTATACACTTGAATACATTACAATTATACCTATAATTGAGTTTAAAAGTCTGGTGCTCAATGACGTGTATCTATTCCATTTTTATTTATCGACTGACTAAGCATTTATGATAGTGATTTTATTTTGTTCTACCTGAAAAAAAAACTGATCCGAATAACGTAGGTACACTAACAAACATTAGTAGTGATATATTATTATCGTATAAGTAACTATAAGTATTAAAATGTTAAAAAAGGACTAACCAAATTTAGTTGGGTTATTAATTTAATTGTATTATTGGTCTCAGTTATGTCAAAGATAGTAAAGAATGAATGCAATGGAACGTGGAAAGCTGAAAGGTATTTAATGCATTTCCTCCAAATTATTTTTACTAAATATTTTTTTGGAGTAATGCAGTAATTTAAAATTATTTTGTATAGTTCTGTGAGAACTGTCGATATTTTAGTCGATTTTCTAAAAAGGCACCCTTAGGGTTGTCCCTTTAAATTTATTTAAATTTAAGTTACAATTTCGTAACAAATATAATGTTTTAGATACATTCAATAGTAATAAAATACTGTTCTTTTCGGTCGATCAATTCTTCTCTTTGTATCGCCATTGTATTGATGTTTATTAAGCGTTAGAAAATCGACTATAGTAAAAATTATCCAGTATTTTGTTTATTATAACGACTTAAATTCATATTTTTGTTAGTAATTTTTTTGTGGTGCATTAATAATTTAAGAATTAAATGAGAGGCTTCACAAAATATATCGTGGAATACGATTGATACTATTTCGTGTGATACAAATATTCAAGAACTCCGATTATGTGAATTAAACTATTACAGCTAGTGTAAGAGGTTATAAAACATTATTGTACTGTACGATGAGTTTTGAAACTGATATAAGACGTTATTGAGCACAAAGTAAATGTATTTTGCCGCGATATATTTTGTCCACCTCGCACAATGTATATTGAAAAGATTTTCTGTAATTTATTATGAGACGAATTCTCTTTTGTAACGTATATTACATTCTCGCTAGGGTAGGTTACCATAAAGTGTTGTACTGTAACTGTATCAATGTGTATTATTTCCAAGTCACATCATGTAAATAGATTTTTTGGTATCGAATTATATTTTTTTGTGATCGTACTTTCTTTTTTTCTTTAATTTCCTTCAAGAATTTTTCATTTTAGTTGACATACAGTTTAGTCGATTTTACTAAAATATTAAAATAAAATCGACTATCGAGTAAACATTTTGCTTTAATTTTATTGCTTTTCCTTAATTTCGATAACCAGAATAGGTTATTGCGTCTTAAATTTTTCTACTAGAGAACCCATTAGAAGTAAGCACTTAAATTTGTTTACTGTGGCATGGCATGTAAAAGGTATTAACTATTATATAAGAGGAATGGGAGTGACAGCATTGTTTCGTAAAGAAGTGTTAGCTTATTGTTGTAAATGTACATACTGCTGGCGTCAATAAACGGATTATTCAACGATAATGTTTATTTTATTCATACTTAGATTGATCCTGTATCCCCTTAATGATAGTCAGAAAAGACTTACATTTAGCTATAGTCCGATTTTTAATTAAATCGACTAATTATATTTGGTGGTAGTCGCGTTATCATAATGGAAAAACAGTGTTATATCCTGAATGATTAAGTTTACTTAATTTATTAATTTGAATTTGCATTAATCAGTAGCATGATTAGCCTGGATTTATAATTGTAGTGGCATTTTAAGAGTATAAACTTAAGTCATGCGTGTATATTTCAATATATTATATTAAAACAAAACTGCACTGTCATTTAAATTGATAAGCCGAAAACACACACACTAATTTAAACTATGCTTGTTGTTTGATCTTCGAGTATTGCAGCGAAATTATAAATTAGAGTGGACTGTATTATAAACTGATTTATTTCACTGCACATGTAGCATAAAAAGATTCGAGATAATGCGTGTGTCTTGTGCGCCGTAACATGCTGAATTATCCGCTTTCTAGTTCATTAAATTTTGACTTGAAAGGAATACGCATAACCAAGACTTGCGGTTACCATTGCTCTAGTTCTATCGTCTTATCCGTATTTACCACCAGATGCCTTCTTTGTCCCCCGAGAAATCGATTAAATTCCCTAGCCAACGCTAGGGTCAGACAGGCGATCGGCTATATAAGAAACTAGAGGAAACTCTTAGCAATGTTGTCAAATTGCGCCGACGTCAAATAAAATTGAGAAAAGGCAGAAAGATGATGATGTTGTGTAGCTCAAGAGGGTTGCCACTGATCAGTATTTTCATCATACCGATACAATGGTGATAATTCTGTTGTTCGAAAACTCTCTAAAAAAAAAATTTTGTCTTGTCAAATAACGTTTCTGATTCTGAAAACGTAGTACTTGACAGTCCTAAACTAAATTTTTGTGATTTTTAATTTAGTTTAGAGAGTTTTCGAACAACAGAATTAGCACCAATATCAGCAAACCGACTACGATTAGGCACAAATTGGATTATACGTGCGACGTCGTTGTATCTTTATTTTTTTATCGGACATCTAACATACAACGCCATCTAGTTTCAAACTAAACAGAGTTTTTACAAGGAAAGCTGTTTGTACAATGATAAAATACTTATATACTTTTTTTGTACATACGTACATATTATACATAGCCAAACTCCAAAACAAATATTTGCAGATCATACAAAGATTTGGCTCGACCCGAGAATCGAACCCGAGACCTCAGCATGGCAGTCGCATATGCTACCACTGCACCACGGAGACAGTCGAGTATTATTTCTCTTTTAACGATTAATAAGCTGTCAAAATTGTACGATTATGACACTTACCAAGTAATGACGTGTAGTAGTAAACAGGTAGCCATCTTTTAATAATCTGATTAGTTCACAGAAGTCTACTCAAATTAAAATGAACAGCTTTTGAAAAAAAGGCATTTTTTATTAAAAAAGAGGAAAAAATTAAATTACATAGAACACAATGCGCAACATTTATAAATAATAGTAATAATATATTATTATACGGATCCACATAAAAACATTATGCGTTAACAATCTTAGTTTACAAATGATACAATTATAGTTTGTCATGTTTACTTTATTATGAACCATTTCCTTTTTATCATAAAAGTTCTTGTGCTACAAATATTATGTACTGGGAGCCGCGGAACGACACACTAATAAATATCGACTTACATGTTGTAAAAAAAACTAAAATTAACTTTATTGCCATTAAAACCTCTAGCGGATTGTGTGTTTGAAAATTTATCGAATTAAGATTTTAGGCACAATCTGGTAAAAATCGACTAAAAGTTTTAATCTCGTCTCTGCTAGTGTTAAACATTTTTCCGAACCTAGGCCTATACATACTTTATGCCAATTCATGGTCACAAAATATTTGTAGCAATACATTACATTGTCAGTCACTCTAAATAAACAAAAATCAACAATACGCGTACTTACTTACGAGAAAATTACAAACTATTACTGGAAATGTAGACTGCCAAAAAAAGGTTGTCTCTTATCTTCTAGAGGGAACGGGCTTCTTTTACATCTGTAATTAGTGTAGTGAACTGAGATTTGGCGTTCACATTAGTCGAGTGGTCAAGCTAGTTGATTAGTAAGTTTTGATTAATCTCCATCTCCAGTTTTAGTTTATGAAACTATTAGGTGGTCATTGTCAAGTTATGGCCGAATACATTAAATACTAAGACAGTAAGGTATAAATCTGAAAGCTCAAAGCACGTGTATATTAGGTAAATATTAGACTTATTGCACATTTGACGATTATAGATCACAATTTTGTGCATAAAAAGCACATTTATTAATAACTAAAAATTAAATATGTCTACATTTAAACATTTAGTATTGCCAACAAAATAAATAATAAAAATAAAACAAAACAATGGTAACTCCATTTTTTACTCTTGTCGTGACTTTGAAAAGATGAGGTAGAATAATTTTGTGTTGAACATCAAAAAAAAGTTTTAGCTGACTGTTGGTATATAAAAATTTAGTATGTGATTATGAAATCTAATATCTTGCTTCAAAATTGGCTTTGATGGTGGGCTCTAGCGATACCTAAACTAATCCTAACACTGTAATGCCAAAGGGACTGTGATTCACTGAGACTTTGGCAGTGGAACAATCAGACAGCTTTACTTTGGTATTCTGACGCACAGAATGTATTTTAATTAATGCCATTCCTTGTAACCGTACGCGTAAAAGATGCGATTGTAAATTTCAACTTCTTTTGTAAGAATTTTGTTAAATACTGACAATAATTATTACTTATAATATTACGTAATAGATACATGGACTTAAAAAAAAGATACAAAAAGTACAAGAAAGATATTTTGCAAGAAGATACAAGATACTTTTTTCTAGTGAAAACAGTTCTTTACTACGAAGAGTCTCACATGAAATGACCAGTGACATGGGCCTGTCGCGTGGATTGAATGAAGGAGTTGCATAAATTAAAATTCATTCTGTATTATCATTAGTGTTATTGTAGTGAATTCTCGATGTTATTATATAAATACATTTAATTAATAAATCCAATCTTTACTTATTATCGAGGCCGAGTAAATCACATCCCTAGTCTCACAAGAAGCGGGTAACATTTGCCAACATTTTAAATATCGAACGACGCTTAGACATCCTAAGTATTACTTAAACACTAATTTAAAATTTCATATTTTTTCATATAAATAGATGTAAAAAGCCTATATAATGTATATGTCAGCGGGGTACATAATGTATTGTACTTAGAGAGATTTTTTTCTAACAATTTAAGTAGGTTTTAAAAAATGATGTTTTGTGCACGTTTAGCAAGCCTTTCTCATGAGATAATCACAGCATCCGTATATTTTTGTCTGCGTATGGAGATGCGATGTAAGTCCTGAAAAAGGCAAATGGCCATTATAATTATTTTACATCAAAAAAATTACATAAAACTGCATTTCGTTTCAGTAGACGTCAAATTAGAAAATATAGTATATTATTTCAGTCGCGATGTAAAAAAAAACATTAAATATTTTATTATCTTCGGTTTTTGACGTCTAAAAATGGCGGCAAATAAGTAATACAATATCTAAAATAACATGCAAACGACATCAAGTGTGAATGTAAACGTGTTAAAATCATATTGCATATAAATAAATATTAAAGCAATAATTATACAAAATACGAACGAATTCCTTCAACGAAAATAAAATATGGCGTGGGAGGATTAGTTTTGTTTTTAAGCTCCATGCATAGTAAATAACTTTCATCGAGAAGCACACCAAACATGAAAACAAAAACAATGCTTTAAATAAAACTTCATGCTACACAATAAAATAAATAAATAAATATTGACCACTACAAACTTTAATATTTTAAAGAACCTGAGTGAAAATTGCTTGTAATATATATTTTTTTTGTATTTTTATATATTTTTTCTTGCAGTCTTCTCGCTTAGCTTGACTATTCACTTAACACAGGGAGCATGGATCTAGAAAAACAGTATATTCTCAAGTTAACATTGGCTCACAAATACACTTACACATAGCTAACACATATTTTTTGTCGATTTATGTTTTGCGCTTCATTCATTTTAAACCTGAATTTATCAAAATTAAATTTATATTTCATAATAATTTATTTGCACAGCGCAAACCATAAACAATATAAAGATAGATAAGAATAGATAAGAAAAAATCGTGACACTGTAGAAAATTAAAACTATTACATGAATAGTTTCTGGTATGGCAATGATCACATTAGATTCGGTCTTATAAGCGAAGCGAGTGAGATGGATGCGTATTTGTCCAATATTTCTAATTAATATACTCACTATATTTTTAATTTTCTGTCAATTTTTTATTTTATTTTTTCTTTGCTGATACCGTGACTAAGCTTAGGTAAATCTCGCGCGTGAGTGCCAGCCGCAAAATAATATAACATTAGTTCGGATCTTTAAACAAAACTATTAATTAATCAAAGAGTCTAGAATTGACTTTATTCGCTTTATGTAAGTACTCTCTTTCTTTAGTTATAATTACAGGAAGTAGTAACCCTTATATAAATATAGCTGTTTTAAGACCCGAAATAAAGAGCTGGTATGCTATTGGAATATTATAAATGATAGAGCTAAACAAGTACCTTCCATTTCCAAAGCTATGGGAATGGGACCTTTGGCAGCGTTGAAAATAAAAATACATATAAGCAATACAGCATAGATGAACCAATACGCTAACCCATACAAAATAAAACTTAGTGACCCAAGGTCGGGATACATTGTCTACCCTAGGTGTTACTTTGGCCAATATAATCAGAAAGTATAAACTTTTAGCACAGTTGTTACAGATAACGATGTCAAGCTATTTTCAACTTCAGATAGGTATATCGTTCTATTGGTAGTTTCAAAGAACTAATTGTGGAAACATTAAAAAAAAAACTATCTGAAAGTTTTGCCAAATCACCTGTCAAGGGCTAATTTAAATCAACCATAGGGTTACACAACGTTCCGTAAACAACATGTGTTGCTGTTATCACAAACAAAATAAATCGTTTTTTTTTGGGTCTCATATCTTAGAATTTCAGTGGTTATTTTTGTATGGGCGTCTCAAGATTATTGCGTGTAATATTGATAAATGCATAATTTATTATTTATCTACCTTTATCAGAAATAATTAGTTTTTCTACAACCTCTCACTGGTTTGGTAACAATTTTTAACTTTCACAAGTTGTTTATTTGTGATATTAAAATATTGTTTCTAATAAAGGCGGTACTGTGTTGTATAGAAATAATCCAACGAGAAATTGGTCAAAATGAAGGACCATTTTCTAAAGTGATAACAGTATAGAAATAATTTTAATTTTGAGCATTTTGTGGATTATATTTTTACAACACTATAAATTTATAAGAGTGAAGGTTTAAATGGCTGTCAATTTTTTCAATCTGTCAAATTGTTCTCTCTGTCTGTCTGTCAAAAAAAAAAAAAAGCTGTCAAATTTTTATTTTAACATTATGCTACTTTTTTTTTCGATACAAAAGTATTTTTATAGTAATAATAATTAGACACTACTGATAGTAAGTAAGTCATGGAAGGATAGTGTTCAGTGAACATTACCTAAGGACTTGTAAAGTGTTTATAAAAAGTTGTAATTGTTTTTCATTATAATAATCCCTTTTTAAACAATTCGACCCAAAAGGTGAATATAGATGAACGATCTACGCTTTTAATGGTTAAATGTATGTAAAGTTAATTTCTTCTTTAAATTAAATGTTTTTTGTCTTAAAAATTCTTAAAATATAGTATGTCCTTTGAAAAAATATTTTTTTTTAGTTTATTTAAAGTTTGTTTAGTGACAAAAATATTAGTTGATTGTATTACTACTACATTTTATTATATTAGTTATTAACTTAATTTCGTATCATGTCTTTAACTAAAATCTGAGTTAATAGTTTCTTTCGGTAACTATATTTATGGTATCATGTTCTAAATATTGAATATTTTTAAGTAAACAAGTCCTTCAAAGTAATATAAAGTACCATAGCCAAGCGTTATAAACTTCTAAATTGGCAATACTTATAATTTATAAATAAATATTAACTTTACGAAGACTAGCAGAAAAAGTATTTTTAATATACATAAAATTAATATCTTGGCGATTTAGTAACTTGTAAATGTGTATTATAATAACTAATGCTCCCTTATTTTAAGGCTTACCTGTAATAGAAATTTTTAACATTTTGATTGCTACTGCTTTTAATAAAATATAAATACCCTTATAAATTTTAAAACAAATTTTTCACTTACATTCTCTTTTACTGTGTGTGTTTAAATAAACTACGTAAAAGAGATGGCTGTGAAGGGTATTATATCGTAAAAAAATTATAACATTTATGTTATAGTTTTCATATTATGGTGACTTATTCTTTATTAAGAACGCTATCTTAACGATAAGCTACGAGAAACGTTCTTTAGGAATTTTTCTTCACTAAGAACTTCACTACTTCTTTTGTAGTAAAATTTCTACTAAAATAGTAGAAAATTACATAAGCACTACCATTTGCTTTAAATTAAATAATATTTAACTAGTACAGGATTATTCGATTGATCAATGAATACCTGATGATTATTGAGATGGTAATTCTAATTGATAAATGTCACATGCTGTTATAATGATAATATTATGTTTATAATAAAATGTTTATGGGTTTTTGATTTTATTATTAAACTATTTCTTTTAAAATAAAACCACTATTCAGAGGAGCATCTTTCTTTCTCCAATGACATTTTGTAATCAAAATAACACACGATTTTGACTAGACTGTGTGGTGTATGCATGGGGGAAGGACGGCCGGAGGGGGAGTGTAGTATACTCACAGCTCCATATTCTGCACGGTGGATTTAGCGCAATTGGTAGTCACGCGCACGTGGCAGTGCTTGTGGCACTTTAGCAGACAGTCGCGGCACTCGTACCCTTGCTTGCCGAGCCGCCGCGCTATCGTCTTTTCGCAAACTGCGCATACAGTGCCACTGGAAAAACATTACATACATGTCTTATAATGTTGTATGGAAGTGCTGATTTTTTAGATCTGACGCAAATTTTGCGTTAAACAATAATTTGTAATAAGTCAATACACATAAAATTGGGAAATAATTGTGTAGGTATAATATGTGTATTAAAATTTAAATGTGTGCAAATAATATGTATATGTGCTAGACTTACCCACTTAGATGTTTAGCAATAAACGTATGTTCATTATAAATATGCAGCTTAATTCCCTTCCGCCGCCATCTTGACCTTTGCGCGATGGTAAGAGGCACCAGATAGTGCTTCTTGATGCCAGCTTCTATGGTCTCCAGGACCAGGGTCGAAGCTTCATGGATGAAGGTCCTGGCTGACGCTGTACTGAACCCGGACATTTCGCTAAGAGAGGACCTTTAGGTTTAATTTTTGGTATACAGAGAATAAATAAACATGTTTATGAATAAAATATTAGTGACATGCATTTGTATTGAAAGTGTGAATATAAGATGGTTGCAGTACAGTAATATTTAGATAAAATATATTTACATCAAATAAAATTTAAAACAAATAAACCCAATAACGATATTAAGACGAATCAAATACAATGAAGAAATGAGAAACGTGCAAGTTATAAAAAGGTTATTTTTTAATAATAAAAAAATAAATATAAATGAAAAGAAAAATTTAAATAGTGCCCAAGCATAAAGTTTAAAATATTACATAATTATTTTAAAATAAAGCGTTAACATTCCAGCAAATTTAAACAAAAGTTTAGTAGAAAAACCGGTGTTACCAGATTGCAGAGTGCCATTACCCCCAACGCATGTAAGTGTTGACGGATGAAAAAAAGATAAAACATACTTTATTAGTGTTGTTGATGTTATAATCGCAGCTCTTAAACAGTTTACTATGGCAAGACAGCATTATTTGTAGTTAAAAGCGGTGAGTTAGTTTTAATTTTTTATATATTTTTAAAATAATGGCTTAAACGTAAGTTAGAAATAATGTAGTCTTGCCAAGATACAAGTCCTAAATAAATCTGAAAACGTAATTTAATTAAAGCTCTAAAGGGGGATGCCGGGCCACCATAGTGGTTTAGGCCCTAAGTGCCCATATGTGAAAACGGATGCAAATATTCTTTGTCAGATAATTAATTTATTCACAAAAGAAAAGATAACACAAAACTTGGGGTTTCATAAATGTATTAGATATTAAGATAAAATTGTTTTAGCGTTATTTAATTTGCCGAAAATGATTGTAACTTTTATCCTGACTTGAATAGCAAGGAAGGTTAAGAAAATTTTATTAATGTTTTTCAGGAAAATACAATTCGTTCTGGGCGTTCTGAGCCTAATATCGGCATTCCTCTTTGTTTATTAGTTAAATTAGAAAGAAACCTTTTTTTAATCTATTTTCATTTCATTGAAGGAAACTGTTATACAAAATAATAATGAATCCTTAATAATCCATCATATTTTTGTGATAGAATTCAGTAAAACATACTAAACTACAAAAGTCTCTACATAATCATAAGGTGATATATCTACCATGTACCAATGCCTACAGAGAATGCAAAACCTTTCTAGTATATTTTTTTAACCCTATTAACCAGAAAGTTTTTAAACTAATTCAAACAACAGGAGGTTCTCAGTTCGGTTCTTAAATCAAGAAAATGTGTTTTTATATGTGTTATCTCAGAATTCCATCAGTTGTTAAACTTTTTTGGAAAATATATTTTATAAAAAGATATTCACATCACACATCAACAGCCTTTAATTGTCAGTGTCTAGCCTAGCAGTGGCTAGGCATAGGCTTATGTCCACTGCTGGACATAAGCCTCTCCTTAGAAAGTAGGTTTTGGCCTACTATACCACGCTGGCCAGACGGGTTGGTATAGGGTTTGTGTCAAGTTTTCCTTCTTTTTGCAGTGCTGGTGTCCTGCGTTGTTTTGCGCCCTCAGTCGGCTCTTACGACACCCACGGGATGAATTAGGGTAGTGACATTCCGTATTCTTAATCCGTCACTACACGTAAAAAGATATTACAATGGAGAAAATTAATGATGAAGAATACTAATACAATTCATCACGACGTAGGAGGCATTGATGTCGGTTATACGTTTATTAAAAAAAAACATACAATACAACCTATATGTTTGCTAACTGTGAACAAAATTGAATAAACTACCCTTTTGTACCAGATAGGTAGGTTTATAAATTTAACAGTTGCATCCCTCAAGATTTCTAAATTGTTAATGAAATGTGGACATACCTCCGCGAGGTCCGAGACTCGTCGCCCGACTGCGCGGGAGAGGCACCAGCTGAGTATACATTTCTGTTGGGGATAGACAGTGCTTTTTCTGAAAATATAAAGAAAATATAAATAAACCCATGGTTATACTTATATATAATAGGGTCCTGCGATATAGAGATATTTAGGGCGAGTTTGTAAAATAAAATAAATTTTGTATCGCTAAGTTGTGCGTTTAAATTTATTACTGACCATGATTATTCCTCTCAGCGCTGATGCTGCGAATACGGCTCTGGTTTTCCATTTCAGAGTCTGTGAGGTCTAGAGACTGACCGCGAGTGCGGGACCGGCCCAGTCTGGAAAAAAATTAGAAAGTTATAAATCGATCCCACTTTTTAATATTAAAAATAAATGTGTTATAAAAAATGATCCTTCGATGATAGCACACCAGTTCTTTTGTCTAAGATCTATATATATTTAAAACAAAAGCCTTTTTTTTGTTTTCAGTAGCGTTCCCAACCTACAAAATATCATTTTTAGACACCAATACGAGTGTGAGAAGTAGTGCCACCATAAGTATTCTCTCGAGTCTTCACACCGTCCCGCAGGGGACGCGTGGTGGCTGGTTCGGGGCTTCGGCCCCCTGCCAGCGATTTCTACCGCTACCCCTGGATAGGTCGTGGGCTTGTGTTTGTGGTCCGATGCGTTGTGCAGGGGTTACTTCAGTCTTCACGCCGCCCCGGCGGTCAAGCCCGAGCCAAGTGAGACCCCAGGCGATACCTGGGCAGGCCCAGCTCCGGGCGACCAGCGACAGAGGCGGCGACTTACGTGTAACCCCTCTGGTGTCTAGTCATAAGTATTCGTGACAACGTTAACTTATTAAAAGATAGACCATGTGTAAACATCAACTGCGCGATACACCATCTGTGTCATCTATAGTATCGATGTAGTTCAGATTGTTAAAGCTAGATGGCGCATGTCGACACAATTAATTTGCGCATTTAAAAAATTGTACATACCTTCTCTTAATGGTTCCAAAGAAGTCCCTTCGCCGCTTTTGTCGCGGCGCTGGTTCCGGTGGGGCGTTTTCATTTTGGCGATGGACGTAATCTCCCTGCTGAAAACATACATTAGAAAATGGTATGGTCAAGTGGTGTTGTTTACAATACACGTTCAAATCTATAGAGCTTTAACCGTGAGCTAATTTTCGTTTCTCGCAAGAAAATTTGATTACGTTTAGGTAGGTACATAAACTAAAAGTAAATTATCTCTATATATATATAAAAATGAATTGCTGTTCGTTAGTCTCGCTAAAACTCGAGAACGGCTGGACCGATTTGGCTAATTTTGGTCCTGAATTATTTGTGAAAGTCCAGAGAAGGTTTAAAATGTGAATAAATATGAAAATGCTCGATTTTTTTTAAGTCCGAGCATTTTTGAATTGTTTTCATAAAAAAAGGATTCCTTTTGTTTGTTTATTTTATACAAAAGTTTAAGTCTTTTATTTATCAATTGAGGCAGTACGAAGTCTACCGGGTCAGCTAGTCTGATATAAAATTTACTAAACATCTATTTATAGTCAAAAGTCGAGTATTTATTTCAAAATTTAGCTTTAAAAAGTGTCACTATTTTTTTTAAGTTTAATTCCAAGAAAATTGATATTTTGTAAAAAGTAAATCAACGTAAATGATCACATATTAAGAAGAATACGTAATAAATACACAAACTAAAGAAAACTACATCACAACCACAAACTAATGAAAACCAGATTAATGTTTTAGTATCTAAAATAAAATAAAACCACAGTCTAAATAAATACCTCTGTGTCTCCATTTGCCTTAGCACCGTTTTCTTTAATTCTGACAGTCTTCCCTGGCGACTGGTTAGGGCTTGGTGTAACACACTTTTCGTTCAAACTCTCATCGACTATAGCACTCTCTTGAGGTATGGCCGGTTCCGCATCTGCTTTCTCCACTTCGATGAATTTCCCCGAGTCAGTTATTTCAACCTTGGTCGGTAGATTATGGCAGTGTTAGTGTGGCAACACAGCACACAGGGATTTTGGTAGTTATTTTGTAATATCATGTCGCAACGTATTTTTTACCATCTATTTGGATATTCAGTTTAGTTTACACTGAACACTTACTTATTTAGTTAATTTTGTATTTTTTTTTAAATAATACTATGATATACTTGTATACAAGATTTTGACACAAAATAATCACCAAAACAACATGCTTAGGACAATAAAACATATTTACAGAATCCTTTTCCTATAATTGTAATTATTCATAGGCAACTCTACAGCGTTATTTCTAACGCAGAGTTAGCAATTATTTAGGCAAGACAACATCTTGTTAAACTAAAAATCTTCTAAAAAGACTTATTTATACATGGCAACACTGTTTTAGCTATATTTTTTTATTCTCTATAGTGACTTTTGCTAAGGAAGCAACTTCTTAAAGCCAAAGACGGCGATTATTCAAATGACATGCCTATAATGCGATAATTCTATGGTATTTCTGAAAAACAGGTTGTTTTGATGGGAGACTCACCTTTATTGACTTCTTCGGCTCCTTTTTAATATCACAGCACACGCAGGCAATGAAAGGAAAACCAAAACTTGTTAACAATGGGGCCACACTATTTACATTCAAAATCTGTATTTAGAGGGTAGGTGTAAGTGTTTAGGGGAACGAAAAGGAGTATGTTGCCAAAAGCCGTGGTCTGCATTTAAGGGCTTTGTGCAACACACCTGTATATATTTTTAATTATTATTTAAGTACATTATAGATACACGAAAACCGAACATGTTTTATAAAATGTAGAAGGTTTCATAAACTCAGAGTTTCTTTTTAGATGCAGCAAACAGTTTCTTCAGGAAACTTTTAACGACGTCAAATTTGACCAATAAACTATTTAATGGTTTAAGTTTACATAGCATACAACTATATCCATAAAACGAGGAAAATCAATTTTCGAAACCTTATTATGAAGAAGTAATTTTCCCGTTACCGTCCCGGGAAAAGAAGTTACGAGAAAATTAATTCTTCATAATAATTCTTTTGTTAATTTAAATTTCTTCCCCTAAACACTTTTAACAACTTTCACAACACAAGCCATGTCTATTCCACTAGACAGGCTAAAAGGGTTCAAATGAAAACGAATCTTAAACAAAGACAGTTAAAGACACAAACCCTCTGCACAGAGTGAATGATGAGTGTTGATTTGTTGGCGGCGCTGGCCGGGCTCAGCTCCAACTCACGCAGAGCTGACTCCGTTAGCTGAGAGTTGTCGTGGCCTGTGGAATTTTTATATTATTTATATATTTTTTTTGTAGAAAAATATAAATGCACTATGGTCGACTTGATGCCACAACTAATTTAATACCTGTCTAGTCAGTTAGCACTACCTAGATTTAGTAAAAAAAAAAGGACTAGAAAATATTTCGGACAGCTGACACACAACGCCATCTAGTTTCAAACTAAGCAAAGCTTGTACTATGAAAGTTAGATTGACAGATAGAATATATATTTGTAAATACATATATATTATATAATTAGAAAACGCCCAAACTCCGAAATATATATTTGGAGATGATACAAACATTTGGTCCGACCTGGGAATCTAACCCGATACAGGAGTCATATTCACTACCACTGCACCACCCAGGCAGTCAAATATATAAATAAACCTACATAACTCGCTGTTTCTCCAGAAGCTGTCATTTTGCTTCTCTGTCAAGTTGTCTTATGTGATAAACAAATAATATTTTTTATGGTCTGAAGGGTAAACAAAATAAAATCGGGTTCCATACTTACCATTCTGCTTAAATATAGTCTTAGTGGTGGTTGTGAGGTGGCCAAGTGGCGAGAGAGTGCGAAGACTCTCCTTTATCTTGACAGGACGGGACCCAAAGTCTGGAATATCAGCTCCTTCGATGAACAGGAACTGTTTTGGAAACAAATTAAAAAGAGTTAAGAGGGAGACGGGCTGCAGAGGTTGTGGGTTCGATTCCCACTGAGGATAAATATTGTGTGATAAGCATGATCATTTGTTCTGCGTCTGAGTGTAATTTATATATTTGTGTATATTTAGAAATTGATAAGTATGTTTATTTAGAAATATATCTGCCCAGTTGAGGGTAATAATACCTTATAGGTTTTTGTTTGTTTTTTAAAAAGACAACTCCCGCATTAGGAATATATCCTGTGTCGCTAGGGGCTTTACAAACATACATGAAACGGACACAAAGAACACCCAAACTTAAAACAACATTTTATGGATCACACAAAGTGTCGTCCCACGTGGGGATTGAATCCACAACAATCAGCGCAGTAGTCAGCGGCGTGGCGAACGATTAAGCCACTGCGCCATGCATGCAGTCAAAAGTTATTAATGGTATTACCTCGACAGTAAGCGTGCCGCTAACGTCGTGTTGCTCCATGGGCCTGGTCTGGAGAGCAATCTGTTGTCTTTGGGATGGAGCTGCCAGGAGCTCGTCTATGCCCACCAGACCTAAGCCGAGGAACCTGGAAAAAATACAAGTTGTACAGTAAAGGGATAATTATATACAATTTAAAATTCAAACAATATGGTGAGGAATGGATGTCATGTCTCTCCTGCTCAAAGGGAGGATCCTCGGACCAGGCGATGTGATATTAATAATATCTTTATTTAATAGGAGAATTGTCTAATTAACTTTCTGCATCTGTACCTGAACTAGGCTTAACACCTGTATCTCAGGCAACAGTGTTCTTCCACCATAATATTACCTAAAACACTGAGTAAGTTTTTATTATTGTGGAGGAACGGGTGTCATGTCCCTCTAACACAAAGGGAGGATCCTCCGACCAGGCGAGGTGATCATGCCTGGCGGGCCGCGGCCCAACGGTTGATGATGGGAAGTTGTATATATGCTAACCGGCGCGGGAATTCTTTATATCGCGATACAGGATTAGCAATTCTTATTTTAGTAGTTACTCCGTAGTTCGGCGTGTCTTCATTAGATGGCGCTGTAGTATGTTTCTGTTTCTTTGTATGTGGGAGTCGCCACACATTGTTAGCAGATTCAATGAACATTAAAATTTACTTAATACTATATTTAGTATGTATGTTAGTTCCTCTCTTTGTCTATTTGATGTGAGTGAGTGAGTGAGTGTGAGAGGGTGTGTAAGGGTTTTGTAATTACTGGTTTATACTGTGTTTTATCATTTTATCTGTCTCTTCGTAATCCAATTCTTTCAGCCAATTTATTTATTTATAACTTACGGTCTGATGGAGAAGTTTAGCGAGTCACGTGTGAAGATTTTAAAGGTAAAAGATTTGTACATCGGCGGACTTAATGCCCAAGGCATTCTCTCCCAGTCAACCTTGGTAGGCGCATATAGGTTATAACACTTATCAGTAAGATATACAATACACAACACAACACACGTAATTTTGTACACAAGCATATATATATATATGCATATATATGTCAAGAGTGATTTTACAACGAACGGTTGAGATGATATAAATTTAACGTTCTGTTTATCATATTGTAAAGAAACGGCCCAAGAAAGCAGAAATACTCGTATTTTTGTGTAAAAGCATGAGTGAAGCGAGAAGTTTCACAGATTTTAATACGACGTCTGTTAGTAGATACCATATTAGGATCATAATTGAGTAGTCCATGTTGTTTTAATGTAGTGAGATAAATAAAAAGTTGCCTTAAGTCTGCTCTTTGAGCTCTCTATAATGGCATGAGAATCTAGATGTAAACAGTAACAGTAGGCCAATATTGATTTACATGTAGCAGTGTAGTTTCGCTTTAATAGCAAAGGGCCAGTAACGTGACGGAGATTTTTAAATACATAAACTAGCTTCCTAACACGTGAAGTTAACAGTTTTACATGGGGTGTAAGTTTAAGTTATATCTATAATTATTTCAAGATACTTTATGTGGTTAGTTCGCGATAAGGGGTCACAGGAACATAATTCTGAGTTAAAGGAAGAATTGAAAGTGTGGCCCAACAGCCAAACATTGACTTTTATATCGAAAAACAAGGTTAGTACTTGCCACCCTCTACAACGTACCTGTTTTGGCTGGCGCCCCCTCCGGGCGAGGGTGGGCCGGTGCGGTCGTACACCTCAAACAGCAGCTCCGCCGTCTGCGGCGACAGGTCGCTGCGGATGTACAAATTTATTACATTATATTCGATACGAAGACTACTAAACAATTCTTTATTATTATTATATTATTATCTTATGATCAACAGCTTTTAAAAGTCCACTGCTGGACATAGGCAACTCCTTAGAAAGGAGGTTTTGGCCTACTATAACTAGACTGGTTGGTATAGGTTTTGTTTCAAGTTTTCCTTCTCATTGCAGTGCTGTTGTTTGCTCCCTTAGTCGGCTCTTACGTCAGTATGAAAAGGGCGGTGGATGTTACACATAAGAATATATGTTGGTAGAACCCTTAGTACAAGTTATGCCTACTTTGTGTCTAGATGGCGCTGTATCCTAGGATATAAATATATAAAGCTACTTACAACAAAAAGTGTTCCTCCCATTGAGGGCTGGTGGTTTCCTTCTTGAAGCCTGTCTGGTTCTTCTGCGGAGGCTCGTCCATCTCCACCACGCAGTATGGAGCTATGCATCCGGTTTTACCTGAAACCAACGAATATAGTGGTTAAACTATATATTTTGAGGGTCTGATGGAGAAGTTTAGCGAGTCACGATGTGAAGAATTTAAAGGTAAAAGATTAAATTATTATAGCTAACAACTATTAATTGATGAAAGTAAATTATATTTTGGAAAAATAAAACACGATTTAAGAGAACCAAATAAAAAATTAGAAAGAGTTCCATTATCTCCCTCCTGGATCCATCATCATACCACCGTTACGAAGCCGAAACTGTTGGACTTGTTCAAACGAATCATAGAAACTGAAATTTTAGATACACTCGTACAACGATTCACTGAAATGCTCGACTATCCACCCGACTGATGATGAAGCCAGGAGTGGTGGGAAACCTGTTCCAAGACACCAAATTTTAGTATTGGCATCCAAACTGCATATACATTTAAGTTTTATTTTGGTACTCGATGTAATCAGAAGTGGACTTGATTTCCAAGATTTGTCTTCATAGTGACAGATGAATCAAATTAAATCAATTTATTTGCAAACACAGGTGCATTTATAGGTGTTACAAAATATAGAATTGTCTGCCGCATTTTACCACATTATTGGTGTGCAAATATTTGTCATTAAAATGTTCCAGTCCAATAACAATTTAAAATACAATTATGTACAATAAATTAAGTTATAATACAATTTTTTATTACATTATCACATTAACAGCTTTTAATAGTCCACTGCTGGACATAGGCCTCTCCTTAAAAAGGAGGTTTTGGCCTACTATACTACGCTGGCCAGACAAATTGGTACAGGGTTTGTGTCAAGTTTTCTTTCTACCGCAGTGCTGTTGTTCTGCGTTACATTTTCAGGCATCTAAATTTGCCAAATCTAATATGAAGCAAATACCGTGTGTTTAAACTGAACCACGGCAAGTGTGATGAGGTAAACTGGCATGTTCTCTTTCCAACTGGAGTTTTTTATGCTTACCTCCCAAGTCCTTAGCAGAGACGACTTTGACCAGCAGTCTCTTGTCACCGTGTAGCACCATGCTGCCGGCAGTGGAGTTAGGAGTGGACGTGTACATCTGGCGGTCGGACTGTAACTGGAGAAAAAAAAGAATTATTCAAATCGGTTTATAATTGCCGGAGTAATCGCGTAACAAATATACAAAAAAAAAAAAAAAAAATACAGTCGAATTGAGAACCTCCTCCTTTTTTTGAAGTCGGTTAAAAAGAGAATCATAATAGGTGTAAGTGCTTTAAAAAATTGTATTAGCGAACCTGATGCTGCCACAACCCACTTTTAAATCGAAGTCAAGAATGCTTTCATGGTTTTTTTATTCCAAAGGGGGGAAATTAGCAGAGAGTAAGTGACTACCGCCACCCATAGAAACCTGCAACGAGTGCAAGAGTTGCAAGAGCGTTGGCGCCCTCTGAGAGCCATGTTTCTGCACATATGGGCCAGCTCACCCAGACTGATACAACGGCCTTACAGCAAACAAGTGTTGAGTAGTTCTTGTACTGCTTTTCACTGAGTAATTGGAAGTTATAGAGGCCAAGCCCTCGCCCTTAACCCTGGACGACTCAAACGGCGGCAAAATCTTAGGTTCTTAAAGGTCTTTAGGATAATAGGCAGGGGGAAGCCTATATTTTCCCCGGGTATACGGCCTAGTTAGGTGTGGCGTCTATCTGGGAGGACCTGAAATCACATGGCTCGAGTCCCCGAGTCCCTAAAGCTGGCCGTCGGGGTGGTTTTAATGAAAGCACCACATACTCCTGACTCCTGTATTTTTCCACCCCGTTACAAAAAAAAGTTTCTTACAGTTCTTAAATCGATGCCTTCCCACAGATAACAAAAGCCTGGAGCAATTACTTCTCAAATTACTTGCATTCTCGTGGTCTTACCATGGCGTCATAGTGGAGGGGCAACCTATGAGGAGTAGTCTCCACGTAACGGCGGAGACGAGGGCACGTTGGGTAATGGGCAAGATTGAACTGCAGGTTCGTGCTGCGTAGAGCGCTGACTACGATATCACTGGAAGCAGAAAAGAGCAAGTCAGGAAAAATGTTGGAGAAAAAGAAAGAGAATAGAAGAATGCTTAAAAAAACTAAATTAGAGGTCTGCTGCTCATAATAGCATGAAAATAATCAGAATATATTTCGGCAGATGCTGTACCGAAAGGTGTAGAAAGGTGGGATTAGATTTAGGAAATTTCACTATCTAAGATCTACACTCTGGATATTTTCATCAACAGCCCTTAACAGTCCACTGCTGGACATCAGGCCTCTTCTTACAATGGAGGTTTTGGCCTACTATTTTTAGAAACTGGATATTTTTAGAAACTTAGACCTAAGGCAAAACATTAATACACAATTCTCACACCTGGCCATCTGATCCCAAACTAGACAGAGCCTGTGCTATGGCAACCAGACTGCTGATAAACATACTTATATTTCTGAATACATATATACATATTATAGACGAATTACACTCAGATTCAGAATGAATGATCGTGCTAATCACATAATATTTGGGTGGCAATCGAACCCATGAGCTCCGGCTTAACCGTCAGGGTCACTAACCACTAGACCAACAGTCCAGTCCAAATTATTTGCTGTTAATACCCCTCTCTCTACCCCTTCGGAGATATAAACATGAAATTATATTTTTAAGTTGGAGAAGAATCTCCAATAGTTCTTTACCTGATAGCGTTTTGTAGGTTATTTTCAGTAGTATTCGGCCGGAGTGCCCCAACTGGAGCCAAGGCTACCTTCACCTCTGGCCACCCATCGCACTTCAGCTCACCTGTCAGCTTGTCTGTCACGCAAACCACGTTTAGACGTGCACGGAATCTGAAGTTCATTAAGAATTTGAAGAAGAATCCATTATTAGGGGTTAATAATATAATTTCTTTAAAATTATGGTTTTACGTGTTCTCTCTTTGTATCAGTATATTAAATTGTGAACGACCATTTTTATTTTACGACCATTTTTGATTTCGCTATTGTGTTATGGTTATCGTGTTTGAGGTTATGGTGGTGATATGTAAAAGACATGTTAAGTCAGCGAGACAGTACTTTCAATATTTTATGGTTATTACTTTTTAATTTATGGTTTTTGTTGGAAGCTCTTAAGAGCGTCATTAAATAGATTTTAAATATTTCTGTAAATTATTCATGTGTTGCATGTCTCAATAAATAAAGAACATCTAGACACAGGACAATAAACGCAGGAAAAGGAGGAGGTTATTTATTTATTTTTTGCAATTGCAACTGGTTTTACGCATCATTTTGGGCCCAATTGAAAACCAGGGTCAGGCTTTCATCCGACATAAGGCTGAATTGGGTCCGTTTTTGGCATCGTTGGTAATCCAAGCTTTTTAAAACTGTTGTATTATTGACAAAATAAACGTTTTTTCTTTCTTTCTTTCTATTTATAACTTGGAGGATGAACAGTTTTGACAAAATTGCTTAGCGCAAAGGTTTACAACAGTAAGCCAATTACTGATTCCCACGTTTAGTTCAATACGTAGTTAATTTATATTTTGAGCGGTTTAGAGCACGCTTTACAATATGAGTCATCATCATCATCAACAGCCTTTAATATTCCACTGCTGGACATAGGCCTCTCCTTAGAAAGGAGGTTTAAATGAGTATATATGAGTTAGTTAGTTTATATGAGTAATCAAAGTTAATATAGGTACTCAGTTATAATTCTTAAAAACACCTTAAGTGCTGTTTGTGACAACAGAACAAGTGCAGGTTTTAAATTAAATTAAAAATAAACCAGAGTAAGAACAAACTAAATTAAGACATAATTAATTATCTATTTGGTAGAATTTTTATGTTTGTTATCTCAAAACATAGTCACTTATAAACCATTTTGGAAAATTATTTTTTATTAGTCTACTTTCCAATGTGTCTCCAAAAAATACTAAGAAAAAATACCACCCCTAAAGGTTGACAATTAAGAAATTCAGAATACTGTTTATTACAATTCATCATGATGTTGTTGGTGATACTTTTAGATATTTTTTTTGTATGGGAATCGAATATCAAATACTTGGCACTTCGGCAGGGGTGACGATCACTTTAATCAATGCGCCATTCAATGACTGGTGTACCGATCGAGTGTTAGTAGGTAGCTAAAGTCGCTTGATTTTCCACTTTATTGGTATACTCTTACCTGTTCACATTAACCCTGTAGTGGGACACCTCAACCTTCTCCCCACGTTGGCTGAAAGCCTTAAGCTGGAACGCTGGAGTGGCATCGCAGTCACAAGTGATAGTCTAGAAATAAAGAAATTGTTTGTTAATATAACATAAAAAAGATCAAAATCATTTATTCAAGTGACCAAGACCCAGTTTTGTTAGTAACAGAAACTTAACCTATTTTATCATATGCATGTCACCGCTGTCACTACGCCCATGTCCCATGTCCCATGAGAAATCGCAGCAGTGTTTAAGGTACTGGCAGTAAAACCTGCCGGCTGTCAATACTAGAATGTTGTTGTTGTTGTGTTGTTGTGCACTATGGATGCATATCTTTTGAGCATTGTTTCTTTGTGTGTTCCACGTGATTATTGTAACAACTTATTGGGAACAGTCAACATCATATACATCATATCTATACTAATATTATAAAGCTGAAGAGTTTGGTTGTTTGTTTGTTTGTTTGTTTGAACGCGCTAATCTCAGGAACTACTGGTCCGATTTGAAAAATTATTTCAGTGTTAGATAGCCTATATATCGAGGAAGGCTATAGGCTATATATCATCACGCTAAGACCAATAGGAGCGGAGCACCAATGAAGAATGTTTCAAAAACGGAGAAAATTTATTACTATTGAGAGACGCAGACGAAGTTGCGCGGGTCAGCTAGTACAACATATACAACGTCTTTGGGAAGGAACTGATCCCCGAGATACAGCTCACGCTAGTTTGGGAATCAGGGCTTGCACTTGAATTGTATGTATCATTTGTTACAATAAAATTTATTATTATTATTGTGGCATAGAAGCAATCAACGCAGTTTTTAAAATACCTTGCAATTAGGTGTTTCAAGTCACCAGATTAAAAATACGGTCATTTCAGCCTTATATTGTTTACCTTATATTTCGGTACTTTCCATCAGAAGCGGATCCAGCTTATAATCTAGAGATGTGTAGTCAGAGCTCATGATAACCTCAGATATTCTATTAAATACTTGGAATCGTATAAACTAGATCCAGCCCGAATAAACCACACCAAAATTCAGTCAAATTATTAGTCAAGTAACATTGTTATTGACTTCCAAACTGAATAACAGAAAGATAAAACGGAAAAGAACATAAATATAGTTCTTTGACTCTCACATAAATAACAACTTAATTCAATGCCCGAGAGACAGAACAAACAACTTACATAACAGATCCAATCTGATATTAAATGTTGTTATTCGGGATTTTATTGTGACAATTGCTACTAAAATGCCCCAATCGTGGTTCCGAGTATCCACATACCCTGAACAAGTCTATTGTGGTATTCGGAGCTCGGTACGACCCAAGATTGAGACTTAAAGTTTACCCCAATTGTAGTAATATCATAATTAAGTCCCGATACATGTCTAGTTTATACATTGGTTGTAAGTATATGCCTTCAAAAAACTAAAAAGCTTTAGATGGTCCTCTCTATTCTCAATCTTCCGTGTGGTGTCTGATTAAGAATACGGAGTGTCACCACCCCTATTCATTCCATGTGTCATGAGAGCCGACTAAGAGAGCAAACTACGCAGGACAGTAGCACTGTAAAGAGAGGGACAACTCGACACAAATCCTATAGAAACCGTCTGGCCCGCGTGGTATTTTTTTTCCAGACTTGGTTGGGGTCGGCTTTTAGTCTCCTACGCCACGGTTGAACTTCGAATTAATATGTACCTATTATTTTTTATGTTAGAGGGAGCAGACGAGCAGACGGGTCACCTGATGGAAAGTGACCATCGCCACCAATGAACGTCTGCAACTCAGGAGTCACAAACGCGTAAAAGAAAATAAATAAAAAAGAAGGTTGAATAAGTATAACACTTATTCAACCTTCTTTTTTATTTATTATTATATCATTATCAATAATATTAATACGCTAAGAAAATGCTTTCATCAAACGTTAAGGCAAACATAGTGTAGGGCCCACAGGCCAGGTGGAGTGATGATTTGCCCAAGATGTCTGGCAAGAGTTGGATGCGAGAAGCCCAAAATCAATCGAAGTGGCGTGGAATGGGAGAGGCCTCTGTCCAGCAGTGGACTGCGATAGGCTGATGAAACGGCTACATAAAACTTAATAGGGGTCGAGTATATATTCTGATCTGTCATGGCAGAGAAGTCATTACAATGACAGCTCAAGTTACACTAGTCAATGAAATAAAACAACACTTCAAAATGGCCGAAAGTCGACTGCCAGACAATTTGTTGTCAATATTATCGCACACCCACACAACTTATTTATGATATAGAAGGTGAAACTTTATTTGAGATGAAACTAACACGGGGATATAGCTCAGTGGCAGAGCAATCGACTGCAGATCGATAGGTCCCCGGTTCAAATCCGGGTGTCCCCTGAATTCTAGCATTTGTCTTTTTTTTTCATTTATAAATTATTTCTTGTGATTTTATTAAACAGATAAATCAAAGAACTACCAAAAACATTAAAAGACATACAAACAGATAAAATTTTAAATTAGTTATATGCATTTAACGGATTTCAGTACGTTTAATAGTCCACTGCTGGACATAGGCCTCTCTTTAGAGAGGAGGTTTTGGCCTGCTATGCCATGCTAGCCAGACGGTTTGGTATAGGGTTTGTTTCAAGTTTTCCTTCTCTTTGCAGTGCTGTTGTTCTGCATAGTTTTGCTCCCTTAGTCTGCTCTTACGACACCCACTTTATGAATAGGGTGGTTGACCCTCCGAATCCGTCACCACACGGACAACCTAACCTTACTGACAGCGAAAGAACTTCTAAACTCCGGGTTTCTGTAAACCAATCGAGCCATACCATAGCGAGCCGTACACACAAAAAAAGTCAGTCAAAAAATACCTCCTCATTTTAGAAGTCAGTTAAAAATAACGTTTTATTATGTAACCAATAAGGTTACTTAATTTCACATTCAATCCAATGTTAGATAACGAGAAACAAAGCACAATGACATGTAACAGTCCGTTTTACGTGCGGAACAATTCAATTTCACTTAACGGATGTTATGATTGCTTTAAACGGATTGCATTCACGCTACTACAACGAAAGAGGATATCTTATATAATTATGTTTTTTTTTATGTTAGAGGGGGCAGACGAGCAGGCGGGTCACCTGATGGAAAGTGACTATCGCCGCCCATGAACGTCTGCAACTCAGGAGTCACAAACGCGTTGCCGGCCTTTTAGGAAGGAGTACGCTCTTTACTTGAAGGTTTGAGGGTCGCATCGGTCCGGAAATACCGCAGACGATAACCCGTTCCACAGATTGGTTGTGCGGGGCAAAAAGTGTCTCGAAAAGTGCACAGTAGAGAGCCAACTATCCAGGTAATGTGGATGAAAATTTTGCCGTGTGGAACGATGGCGGAAATTTGCTGCTGGTATTAGTCCGAACAATTCCTCGGAGCACTCTCCATGATATTAAACTAGCTTTTGCCTGTGGCTCCGCCCGCGTTTATTTCGGTTATTGCGATAAAAAGTCCTACGTCCTTCCTAAAGAATCATACTATCTTCATACTAAATTTCATCTAAATCTGTACAGCGGTTATTCAGGACCACTGCGAGTGAGCGCACGTATAAAAGGTAAATAAAGATAAAGGAATATCATACCACAGGTAAGTGTATGTTTTTTTCTAAAATTCATTAATAGATGTACCTATGTACGGTTACGGAACAAATATTTTGCGCGTGCAGTATAATGAATAACGTATCTTCCTTAAAATATTATTACTACTGACTATAAGTAGAAAGGGTCCTATTTAACCCTACATTTTATAACTCTTTGATACCTCGGTCGCACAGAAAACCGGTGTGAGGGGTCTATGGACGGAACGAAGTTCGCAACTATAGCAAGAAGTGTCGGAAAAAAGTCCTGTTACACATTTTCGGTCTCCCTCCCATCCGCTCAGAGCATGTAACGCGCGAACCTTTCGTTGTTTTTAACCGAGTGAAAACCCAAACCCTTGCCAAACCCCTTACTAAGGGGAGGAGGGACTCAATGCAGCACACTTATGACCCTTGAGTTGCATGTGTTCATGGGCGGCGGTAGTCACTTACCTTCAGGTGAACCGTCTACTCGCGCCCATGTACCATAAAACCTCACAATATTTCTAACATAAACTTCTACTTTTCATGACTGTGTTTCCACTAAAAACAACCCCGACAACCGGCCTCTGGGAAAGACCTGAACAAGAATTTGACAAATCGCCTAACCAGGCCCTATCCCGAGGAAAGTTGCAAAATTCCCCCCGTCATGCTCAATGTTTATCTAAAATTATTACTCCAACTTCAACTTTTAATTTACCGCTTTGTGGTGCAACAATGTCGATGTTCAGAGGATGTTTTTTAGAGTTAATTAAAATTGTTTAAATAATACTCACAACGTCGTCCTTGGAGTCACACTCGCAAAACACGTTGGAGATGTTGGGAGGGTGGCAGTCGAGGGCGCGCACCAACTCCACGCCAATGCCTTGCTGGAACAAGAGAACCACATGTTAATATACAGTACCATATACTTCGTAGTGACACTGGATTGTAGGACTGCCAACATTCTTTTCGGGTAAATATATATAGTCTATTGAGAATATAAGGAAAAACAAAAAAAATAGGTGTAAATGTTTTTACATATATTTTAACGTTTCCAGTAATCAGTACAGTTTAAAAAGAAACGGACAATTGCGAATCGGACTCGCCTACCGACGGTTCTGTACATATTCTGTAAATTTGTGGGTACATATTATAAATACGTAGTTCAGGAATCGAGTCTCGCAGCTTTTTTATGAGCTTTTCCTCAAGCGACTTTTGTACCATATGACAGGTCAAAATAAATACTCCCCCACAGTTTTATGTAGCGGTTTTTAAATATTTTTTTACTTTAAATCACGTATTATGTAAAAGTTTAGCTTTGTACACTCCGACATTGTTAACACTTGTATTCCAAACGTGATATGTTTCCATGAACCATACTTGTTTAAAAAAGAGTAGTTACAATCAAATTTTTTCACATATTAATGGATAAGAAGATATAAACTCACGCCTATCACTTTAATTTGTAGTCTCACTTTTTAACCCCCGAGGGAAAACAAGGGCTGTTATAAGTTTAACCTGTGTATCTATCTGTCTGTGGTATAATAGCTCCCGAACGAATGGACCATTTCGATGCGGATTTTTTTTTCGAAAGCCGATGTTGTCGAGATGGTTCTTAGCTATAGTTTTGAAGATCATCAGCTTACACAACAGGTGATGAAGGAATCTCACTAAAATCCACAGGTCCGATTGATCTGAAATTTGAATATTTCCACGACATGTTAACTTGGAACTTGCTGCTGCATCAAGCAGTCTGCGCTATAGCCATATGGTCAGAAAATTACAGCATATCTACGATATTTGGGTTTTATACTGATTTTGTTTTTTGAAAGGTAAATTAGGTAGGAAAGTATGGAAGGAATAGTAATATTGCTTGTAGGGATAGATATGGAAAGTAAGTAATAGTTCGATCTGTGAGATTGCAAAGGCGCGTAAATACAATTTCTAAAAACGCGTATCAATATTTTCTAAATATTCCAAAAGGAAATAATTAAATAAATCGACTAATAGGGTACATTTTTGCAATTCCTATGCATGATTTTTTATGAGAATTTGATAAACATTTATCAAAATGTTTACTTTGTAAATGCGTGGTATTGGAAACTGATCTTGTGCGTTTTATGCATCAACGATAGGTATCTATCTGTAATTCCCACAGGCGGATCTGAAAAGTCCGAGCCTTTAACCTAGTCACTATCGTAGGTTTCCCTACATCATCTGATTTTGGACTGGATCATCTTTCGTCTCAAAGGTGCCATTGAATACAATTTAAACTTGTTGAACTAAACCAACTGCCATAAAATACGTTTAGAAACCATGAAAAACAATGTAACGAGCAGTCTTATCGCGTTCCTCATAAATTGTTGTGTAGATTCTGATAATTGTGGAGTTTCAATGCCTATTGATATATTTTCTACTTTTTTAAATGCTAGTAATATTTTCTACTTAAAGAATTTGAATGATATGGAGCATCTATTAATTATGTGACCTTAAAACGGGACGAGAGGTCTAAGAGTCTAAGTAAAGACTTACTTTAAGACAATTTTTGACTGGTGACTGATTGTCAGGCCTGTTGATCTAGTAGTTAGTGAACTTGACTGCTAAGCCAAAGGTTGTAGGTTCGATTCCCATCTAGGATAAACAATTGTGTGATGAGCGCGATTATTTGTTCCATGTCTGGGTGTAATTACATGAATAATTCCTGAGGTTTTATTCAAAGAGGTTTCCGGGAAGACATATATAAATGGCCTGTTCTTCTGCCAAACGACAGAGCAATTTGTAGGCAGATGTAGCTCCCATAGATTAATATAAATAAATTAAATTTGTAATTACCTACACTTGCTTATATTGTATATTAATTAATTATCAAAAAAAATTAGGGGTGGGTCACTCTTATCATTCAGGGGTCTGAAAAATAGATGTTGAGCGATTCTCAGACCTACCCAATATGCACACAAAATTTCATAAAAATCGGTAGAGCCGTTTGGTAACAAACACCGCGATACGAGAATTTTATACATTAGATAAGCGTCGAAACCATAAGAGGATGTACCCATGGATAATATAATCATGTTTGTTTTTTATATACAATAAAATATAAATATCAAGTTTTAGGAGAAACTTTGTTATTTTTAAAGGATTGTTTTGACACGAGATTACTTTCAATATCTACAGGAAAACTGTTGTAAATTGTTAGAACCAAATATTTGGTTCTCCATATTCATGTTATTTGTCCGTGATTGGTCCGTGTGGTGACGGATTAAGAATACAGAGTGTCACCACCCCTATTCATCCCGTGGGTGTCGTAAGAGCCGACTAAGGGAAAAAACAACGCAGAACAACAGCACTGCAGAGAACAGGAAAACTTGACACAAACCCTATACCAACCCGTCTGGCCAGCGTGTTATAGTAGGCCAAAACCTCCTTTACAAGGAGAGGCCTATGTCTAGCAGTGCACTGTTAAAGGCTGTTGATGTGATGTGATGATGTGATGTGTTTCATGTGATTCAATAAATTACTAAGACCACGCATCCTAGGTATTACTTCTGGCAACACTGTCGCATTTTGAGGAGAGAGTCGTTTATAAGTGTCCCAATAGGAGGACACCACTAGCCACTCACCATAAGATCATTCAAGCTATGTTTAACATATAGAATGTACATGTTAAACATAGCCTGAATGATCCTGTTACTTACACAATATATCACATCACAATCATCACATCAACAGCCTATACTAGTCCACTGCTGGACATAGGCCTCTCCTCTCTTACACAATATATATCTTAATATATTTATAAAGCTAAGTAGCAACTCAAAAACGGCTGAACCGAATTTGCAATTCTTTGTTGCAATTGTCTCTGCCCCGAATGGCAGACCAAAATATTTTAAGTTTAAAAAAAAATAGTTTTACATATTGTATGACAAAAACATGTACGCAATGTGTAGCTATGGTTAAAAACACAGTTTTTAATAGTTTAATATATTATGTATCTCTTTCTTTTTAATCTAATTATACTCTTCAAGTAAATAACATTAATCGAGAAATAGTTATGAAAGTTAAATACAGCTCTCTGAGCGACATTTATTAATATTCATAAAGATAATATCCGATCTACTCATTATTTTTTTATTGACAACACTGCTCTTTCGATGTCATGTAATTTTTTTATTGGCAACTTTTAATAGCTAGCGGCAATAGCTACTATAGACAAAAAGAAAAATGTTTAATAAACACAGGAGATAACCTTACAGATAACTTTACAGTTTTGTCAGCTTTATTTTTATTATTCGCAATAATTAGACGCAGCAAAGACGGACATTTACGAAATCCTCCATCTGTTGACGCTTGACAGAGTCTACGCGCCAGCGTGGACACCTCCAAATGCCGCCGAAACACAATCTTCTTGTAGCGGTCAAAGAGTTCTTAAATAGTTGTCATAGAAACAACATAGCAAACTTTTTTAATAGATTAAATATAAAAATAAATATAAATGAAATTAATGTAGATGTGAACGGTATAATGACTTACCGCAGGAAATCGACAGGAATAATATCTATACTAATATTATAAAGCTGAAGAGTTTGTTTGTTTGTTTGTTTGTTTGAACGCGCTAATCTCAGGAACTACTGGTCCGATTTGAAAAATTCTTTCAGTGTTAGATAGCCCATTTATCGAGGAAGGCTATAGGCTATATATCATCACGCTAAGACCAATAGGAGCGGAGCACCAATGAAGAATGTTTCAAAATCGGAGAAAATTTATTACTATTGAGAGACGCAGACGAAGTTGCGCGGGTCAGCTAGTACATCATAAACTTTGTCTAGACTCAAATAATAATAATTGTTACAAACTCTTTCTCTTTCCTAACATTGTGCTGTGCCCGACAGGGTCCATAACCGCTTTTTACTAAATGCATATGTATGTTTACACGGTACATATGCCAAAATAACATTTTTTACAATTTTTGTCTGTCTGTCTGTCTGTCTGTTTGTACCGAGTAATATCTGGAACGGCTGGACCGATTTCGACGAGACTTTCACTGGCAGATAGCTGATGACATAAGGAGTAACTTAGGCTACTTTTTTAACGGTTTTAACAACAAACGCGGGTAACACCGCGGGTCTCAGCTAGTACACACTAAAACTGGAATGGAGTGGCAGTGAAATGCATACTGATCGCGCGTTAACTATATCTTACGTAACAGCCTGCTTTGTGCGGTTAACGATCCATCAGTAATCATGATTGCAATGAAAGTGTCGATATGATGATTGTTGGATGTCCATTAACGTGTTACTTTCGCGACTTGTAAGGTCAGTAACTCATAATAGAAGACGAAGACGTTGACCAGACTTCCTTAGCGCCATCATCATCATCATCATCATCAACAGCCTTTAATAGTCCACTACTGGACATAGGCCTCTCCTTAAAAGGAGGTTTTGGCCTACTATACCACGCTGGCCAGACGGGTTGGTATAGGGTTTGTGTGCCATGGGCCCCGTCGTGGTCCACCCCCTGGCGCCTCCATCGTGGTCAACTCGGTCCTCGTACCGGTTCGGGCCCAGATGAAATATCTGGGCCTGATCCTCGACGGGAGGTGGCTCTTCGACGAGCACTTCCGACAGCTTGCTCCAAAGCTGGTCGGCGCTGCGTCTGCCCTAGGGCGACTTTTGCCCAATATGGGTGGACCCAGCGTCGCGACAAGACGGCTGTACACGGGGGTTGTCCGGTCAATGGCACTGTACGGTGCACCGGTGTGGGCGGCGGCTCTGACCGCCCAGAATAGGGTACGCCTCTGGCGCCCTCAGAGGGTAATGGCGGTCAGAGTTACCGCACCGTGTCGACGGAGGTGGCATGCGCGTTGGCCGGAACTCCCCCGTGGGATTTG